CTGCTCCAAATGAAAGCAATCAAAACGTGGTTGACCCCCAATGCCGGTCGACTGGAAGCGAAGACAATAGAGCCACGGCGTGAGTGCCAATCATTTCAGTCATCAGCGCAAATTGTCAACAAACGGCATTAACGGCCACGCTGGGCCGCGTTGGCGCTCGTTTGGACATTTGCGTCCGTCTCGTAATTTAAGAGGCTCTCCTCGCTCGCTCGCCGGCGTGTGCGATCGAGCGACGAGTCGTTATGAGAGAAGAAGTTGAAAACGGGACGGAATCGATACTGTTTAGCCAGCAGCCGTGCTGCCGTGGATGCATTTAACGCGTCAAGCTGAGGAAAAACAACCAATTGCCTCCGAACGCACACTTTATTGACCACACAAACACAGGCGCGCGCACTGCAGGCGTATTGACTGGTGTAAGGCAATTAGAGCGGGGTACTTTCACCCGCAAACCTGCTGTGATGCTTTGAGCGGCTCGCTAAAAAGTGTGGCACGCATCGCTTTGCTAAATGAACACCTTTCTTTGCGTGACAAATTATGGCAGTGGATTAGAATATTTAAAAACCTCATTTTTGAAGTACAGTGGTGCCTTGAGAGACAAGTGAGCTGACTTGCGCTGTATGGTGACAGTGAACTTGACTCACTTCACAACAAGCAGCAGTTTGGTAGAGTGAACCAGCCCCCCCCCCCCACCCCCCGAAAAAAAACAGGCTTCCTGTTGTTGAATGCTTCACTGTCAAACTAAACATCAAACAAAGAGAACGACTCATTTTGTATTTGAAACAACATCATGGCTTTCCCTTAAGACCGTCTGTTTAGTTTGATGCTAACAAAACAATATAAAACGCCACAGATGGGCTAATAAATCAGTGTTGTGGTTTTAAAACCCTTGAATGAGCGGATATTTAAACACAAAGCGTGGAGCAACACATGTAGACAGACAATATAACAATACTCACAGGCAAATATTCTTTTTCCTCAAATATAATCAGCAATTACTAGACCTACGATTATATATAAAAAAAATTATGTACGTTGATGTGATGGAATATTTTTTGGCATATTATTGAAAAATTACATAAACACATAAAACACATTAAGTGGGCTGCCCTGTCTGAATTGTCTTCAGTGAATCTAACCGGATCCTTTTGGGATTGCGGGAGGAAGCAGGAGTACCCGGAGAAAACCCGCGGATGCACCGAGAGAACAGCAGCCAGTTTCTGTGACAAACTAGATGGGCCTGACTCAATTCATTTCAGTCACAAGCGCTTACTCACGTCATCCTATCCGACGAGGCCAGCCGCCGGAGGCCAAAATAAAGTCGGTGCATGAAGAATGTTTAGTTCAAACACATATCACAGAAAATGGGGTCACAGCTAAGTGTCGCCTCGCTGTTTGGTCAGTTCATGCTTCTGTCGCCATTGATAATTATCTACTGTGCTAAGTCTCTCATCAGCGATTCTAGCATTAATGTGGGCGCGCAGAAAGGTACACCGTCATTCTCACTGAAACACGAATACCATATTTTTGTGTGAACAATCAACATAATTGTACGAATAAAGAAATTAGAAACAATTAAAACGGGACCTTTCACCTTTACAGTCTGCTCAACGATTGTGTGTGTGTGTGTGTGTGTGTGTGTGTGTGTGTGTGCGTAGAACATGTTCCAGTGGGACCGCTGTGCTCACTTTGTGTTTTCGAAACATTTGCCGACGCCCACAGCTCCCATGCGGATGCGGCTCCCGGTGTACTCGGCGTGACTCTCTAGACATCTCTCTATCAACACGGTGCAAACAACACGGCGGCAGGCACGCACGCACACACACACAAACACACACAAGCACGCG